CCAGTCTGTTCCCTGGTGCTGGCGCTGCCCGGCAGCTCTGTGCTGCTGCTGCGAAAGTTACAGAGTTTAGTGCCTTTCTGGGGAACGGCAATTTTCTCAGACCTACTCTTGCTTGGGTGAGGGGTTCTCTGGTTCGGTGGGATTCTCACCGGGGCTCGGGGCCCCTCGCCCCTCCCGTTCGTGTTTGGGGGGCAGGGGGAACGAGTTCTGGGAATGCTGAGGATGAAGACCCCGCCCCGCTGGCCGCGCTTGGGCCGCCCACCAGACCCTGAGCCCCCACCTCGCCGGCCGGGCTCGAGTTCATTGGCCCGGCCCCCAGGGCCCCCACCTCGCCTGTCACCGGGTCTGGGCCGCTTGGTCCAGCCCCCCGGCCTGGGCCCCCATGTTCCCCACAGCCGCTGCATTTACAACGGACGATTGTAAATATTCTGGTGCTTATTTACACTGATTTGGTTTGCCTTACTATGGGTAGGCTCATTAATCATTCGACACCCTATCTTAATTACCTCCCCTATGGTCCCTTGAAGTGACCATAACTTCTGTTTCTGCCAGTCCTGCCTTTTGTATATTTAATTTTTGTGCATGACCACAGTTGCTAGGTTTAAACCTTTTATATCGGAAGGTTTCCCCATGGATCCGATGTATTGAGTAAAGGCTTGGGACCAAGGCCACTCAGCATTGCTCTGGCTAGGAGTATGTTAGATTGCTCTGGGAAATGGTTTCTCCTCCCCCAGAGACCCCTGTAACTGTAACCATGTTAGTTTAACCCTTCCTTCCTTTCTTGACCTAATTGGCTGAGAGCCAAGTATCTTTTCCTCAGCAGGAGTCTAGATAACGCTCTGCTCTTCCTTGTTCGCTCTCTTTCCCTCTTCCTCCCCTGGAATAAACATCTTGGACCACATTGGGGGTTGGAGCCTCTTTTGGAATCTTTTGCCAATGCCCCTGAAATATTTCCCCCAAAACCCTCTCAGATGTGGGTTAGTCTAGTAACTCCGGGGGGCTGCGGAGGTAGGTATTTCAGGAGTACTTCCTAATTCTTGGATTACAACTATGATTGTAAACAACACTTCAGCAAAAATCCCCACCCACCATGATGCATTCATTTTGTCCAGGTAAGTTTCAGTTCACCATCACCTGGTGTTATTCTCCAAGGGGCTTCTGGAGCTTTCTTAACACAGTTGTGGTGGATCCAAGCGCTTTGTTCCTTAATCTTGATTGCAGTGAAGGTAATAAGGAGCACTTACTATGGTCCCTCCTGTTGTGGTTCCAGGGCCTTCTCTGTAAGCGACTGTTCTGCTTTGAAAGCAAAACCAGTAAGAGACTCCAAGTCAGAAATACAATTTATTAGGAAAAGGGAAAAGAAACAAAATACATGCAATAATACAAAAGAAAAACCATTGACAGAGTCAGAATACAACCTGACACCCCTTTGGCCAGCGTGTTGATAGAAGTCCGAATTGGAGTGGCTGCAGTCCTCCTGGAGTGGCAGATGTGGTTCTGTTGGAGCAGTGGTCCTCTAGAAGGGTGTAGTCTTCCTCTGAAGGTCCAGTGGAAAACCCCAGCTGTTCCTCTTGGAAACCTGTGGGAAGGCTGACTCCTCTGTCCCAAACCCCAGAATATATCTAGGTGGGGATGCTTAGCTCCTCCCCTGGGTGGAGCATCTCACCATGGGCTGATGTTATTCTGAGTCATGCGGTGGGTCCTTGATTAAACAGAAATGGCTCCTGGAGGGAGTTATCTTTGAGTCATGTGGCAAGACATTGATGGGCCCATTAACAGGAGATAAAGAAAACTGTCCACTTAACAGAAGACAACTGCTACACAGGTGGCAATAGAAAACATCTTGCTTCTCAATCTGGGACAGAGACTTAACATATACATAGTCTCCAGGTTGTACATCATGTACATTGAGCCCCATACCCTGAGTTCCAGCCACATATTTTTCATTTGCTCTAAGTTGTTTGCTCAGAACAATCATATAGGAGGTTAGTGATACGTCCTGGGCAGACATTCCCTTCTGCACCCCATATGGTCTCCTATAAAGCAATTCAAAGGGACTTAGCTTTTCCTTAGTCCTGGGTTTGGTTCGAATCCGCAGCAGCGCTAATGGGAGGGATTGAGGCCATGGCAAATTAGCCTCTTATCCCAGTAGTATAATTTGTTGTTTGATCAAATGATTCATTTTCTTTACCTGACCACTTGATTGTGGATTATATGGGGTGTGAAGTTCCCAGTCTATGCCCAAGTATTGGCTAACCTGTTGCACTAATTCTGCAATAAAATGTGGTCCTCTATCCGAGGAGATTGTGGCCAGGACTCCAAAGTGTGGTATGATTTCCTGTACCAATACCTTAGTTATCTCCTGAGCTTTAGAAGTCCTGGTGGGGAATGTTATGAACAAAACAGCCTGGCTGGGACACTTGGCTTGGGCTAAGTACTGACATTGAAATGTTAATTAGCTAATTGTTCCTGGGAATCACCTACCTCCCCCACCCTCACTACCATTCTAGGACTGGGATGCAAAATAATCCAGTGGAATCATGGGAGGGGGTTTTGGGGATGAAATACACACCTAAATGGAAAAGATGGGCACAGTGGAGAGGGCTGGATGGGTGTGCTGGTTGGGGAAAAGGGAACCCCATCCCTAGTCTGTGTTTGACCTGTCACCATAACCTACAGAGGACCAGAGTGGACTGGGCTGTGGGAAGCAGGAGCAAAGCAGAGACACTTCCTGGTGCTGCCAGGAGGGAAGGAGAGGGACAGCTGCTGCTGGGCTTCGGCAGCAGGCTCTGCACATCCCCCCACCCTGCGGCTACCAGTGTGCTGGGAGGAAAGGAGAAGAGGACGGTCTGCTGGGACTTCAGATATGGACTGCACACCTCTTCACCTCCAGCTACCAGCATGCCACAGACTCCAGGGACAGACTCTGCACGCCTGCTCACCCTTCGGCTACCGGAGAAGCTACAACAGTGGGGGCGAGCTCCTTGTTGAGCCCCCTGCCTAGCTGACTTTTTAATAAAGAGCTGACTATTAATAAAGGCATAGACCCTGTTCATTTCAATTTGGGGGCTCGTCCAGGATAGCCATGCCCGAAGAGGAACCCTGGACAGCTGGACCACCTGCTTCGAGGGACCCTCGGGATTTGCTGGCTACCGGACCCTAGGATCAGCGTGAGACGGGCCACGTGGAGGAGCAACACGGAGGGACGACGGATTGGTGAGAAAAAGACTCCTGCGAAAGGGCCGGCTGGGAACGGGGGGGGGGGGGGGGGGGGGGGGGGGGGGGGGGGGGAAGCGAGTGGAACAGAGAGACTGAGGCCTCTCCTTAGAGGTAAAGGCCCTCCTCTGGGCATGTGGAGATTCTCTAGGGATGAAGTAAGTCCCTGGCAATCAGGGCAAGGGAGTTGTCCACAGCAGGGTAGGTGGGATGTCCCTGGCAGGAAGGGGGCATGTCCTGGCATACAGGGGCATGTCCTGGCAGATAGGGCATAGGTCCTGGCAAGAAGAGGGCGTGTCCTGGCAGGCATGGTTATGTCCTGGCAGGCAGGGGGCATGTCCTAGTAGGCAGAGGGCATGCCCCAACAGGCAAGGGGCATGTCCTGGCAGGAAGGGGACATGTTCTGATAGGCAGGGGGCATGTCCTAAAGGGCAAAGGGCATGTCCTGGCAGGCAGGGAGCATGCCCTAACAGGCAGGGGCATGTCCTGGGAAGAAGAGGGCATGTTCTGGCAGACAGGCAGGGGGCATGTCCTGGCAGGCAGCAGGCATGTCCTGGGAGACAGGGCATGTCCTGGCAGCCAGAGGGCATGCCCTAACAGGCAAGGGAGCATGTCCTAGCAGGCAGGGGCATGTCCTGGGAAGAAGAGGACATAGGTCCTGGCAAGGGAGGGCATGTCCTGGCAGGCAGGGGGCATGTCCTGGGAGACAGGGGGCATGTTCTAACAGGCAGGAGGCAGGTCCTGGCAGGTAGGGCATGTCCTAACAAGAGGGGGGAATGTCCTGGCAGGCAGGGGGCAGGTCCTGGAAGGCAGGGTACATGTTCTGGCAGGCAGGGCCAGGTCCTGGCAGGCAGGGAGCAGGTCCTGGCAGGTAGGGCAATTAATAACAGGCAAAGGACAGGTCCTGGCAATAAGGGGGCGTGTCCTGGCAGACAGGGGGCAAGTCCTGGCAAATAGGGCATAGGTCCTAGCAAGAGGGGGGAATGTTGTGGCAGGCAGGGGGCAGGTCCTGGAAGGCAGGGTACATGTTCTGGCAGGCAGGGCCAGGTCCTGGCAGGCAGGGGGCAGGTCCTGACAGGTAGGGCAATTGATAACAGGCAAAGGACAGGTCCTGGCAAGAAGGGGGCGTGTCCTGGCAGACAGGGGTAATGTCCTGGCAGGCAGGGAGTAGGTCTTGGCAGGCAGGGTACATGTTCTGGCAGACAGGAGGCATGTCGGGGAAGACAGAGTAGGTAAGCAAGTAAGGAAGCGAGTAGAAAGGCAAGCAGGCTAAGCCTAGTAGGAGAGTCAGGCGAAGGGACTTGGCCGGAGTTCGAGTGTAAGGCTCGGCAGGACGTTCGACCTTACCTCGGCAGGGAGACCAAGCTTCCTAAGCCTAGTAGCAGAGTCAGGCGAAGGGACTTGGCCGGAGTTCGAGTGTAAGGCTCGGCAGGACGTTCGACCTTACCTCGGCAGGGAGACCAAGCTTCCTAAGCCTAGTAAGGAGGTTGGGCAAAAGGCTAAGGAAAGAACTGGGGCGAGACCTACCTAGGGTCCAAGCCTAGAAAGTCCATCAAGAAGTCCAGAAAGAATAGGAAAACAAAAGACAATATATGGGAGTATGATTAGTGGTTATCCTAGGCAAGTGACAGAGATAAATGCCAAGAGTGGGAGGTTAACTAGAAGAGATTAAGTTCAGTCAAGAGATTTAAAATACTAAGTTGTGGGAAGGAGCCAGATAACCTGTAGTTGCATATCTGTATATTCCATTTTAGAGGGGAACACCATTTAAGGTAGATTTTTTCTTTCCTTTTGAGGCCTGGAAATGGGAATAAGTTAAAGCAAAGGAGTGGATCCTTCAAAAGAGAAAGCAAAGAGAATTCCTCCTAACAGGCCCTTAGGGCAATTGTTAGACCAACGGGATTCTTGGGAAACCACAAAGGGTCTAGACAAGAGTACTGAAGTATGGCCAAAGTTAAAATTACAGGGAGAGTGGCCATAGTATAGAACCCAAGATCAGTAGATACATAATCAGCTAAACCAACACCTAGAAGCCCTAAGATTATATTTAAAGAAAGAAGAAGAAAAAGTCAAAACTAAAGCTAGACTTATGGTTGCAGTTGCTTGAGAAAGTATAAGAGCAGGCAGGTCACCAGCACTGCCGTCTAAGTCAAGTTGGAATAGACCAGGGCTGTTACCAAAGAAATAGAGATCAACCAGCACCATCATATGAAACAAATAAGAACTTTAATGACTTTAAGAAACCTGAAGCTTCACAAAGCAACAGGAGGTGCTATTACTGTCGTGAGATGTGTCTTATGTTTCAGTTTAATGAAGCAATGCAAAAAGAACAAAAAGTCTTAGAAGAGATTTCAAGGGGAGATGACTAGGGGTGTTGGGAGTTCAATAAGCAAAGAGATATAATCAACCATCAACAAGAGCCCTTGGTAAACTTTAAAGTAAGTCCTCACTAAGAAGATTTTGAGTTCTTAGTTAACACAAGGGTAGATAAGTCCAGGACAAGTTACCAGTAAGAGTCAACATTGGGAAGAAAGTCTGTGAGGTTTTAGGAATGAAAGGGAAGGCCAAAGTAATCTCTTAAGAAGAGACTTGCAAGTCCTATGAAGGGTAAAGATTATCCCACGAGATAAAAGGTAGTTCAAGTCATGAATTGACCCACTGGGGAATCCAAAGTTTGTGCAACCACTTTTTTTTTACGGGAGAATTTATATATTGGAGCGTATGACCTGGCAAAAGCAGTCACAAGAAGGTGTGCGATTTGCCTGAAAACTGACCAAAAGGTAATGAGAAAACAAGCACATGGGAGAAGAAAACTTGCTTTAAGACCTTTCCAGAACATACAGGTAGATTTCACTGAAATGCCCTCTGTGCAGACGTACAAGCATTTACCAGTGATGGTAGATCATCTCACTCACTGGGTGGAGGCTTTCTCAGCCAAAAAGGAAACTGTGCAAGAAGTCGCAACAATAATCTTAGAAAAAAATCATACCTCGATACAGGCTAGTCAATAACTTTGACTCGGACTGAGGTCAACATTTTGTTGCTCAAACTTTGCATCAAGTAACAAAAGCCCTGGAGATAAAGTAGAGATTGCACACCCCATGGCATCCTCAAAGCTCGGGAAAGGTAGAAAGAATGAATAAAACTCTTAAAAAAAGTAATAACCAAATTAATTAAAGAGACAAAAAAATGAATTAGCTCAAGTGTTTACCTCTTGCTCTCTTGCGCATCAGACCTCGACCTCGGTCCGACATAGGGGTTTCTCCTTATAAAATGATGTTCAGACTCCCTTTTCTAACCACCCCTTTCAGTACTGCAGATTATTTAAAAAGGGAGGCAGTAACTTAAAAATATTTAAAATCATAAGAAAAACCCTAGAAGGCCTCAGAAAGAAGGGGTATCTTCCCCAAACCTCCCCTCTGGATACCAATGCCCACAACATCAGTCCCGGGGACTGGGCGTTAATAAAATCCTGGAACACCACCACTCCACTAACCCCCAAATTTGAAGGACCTTTCCAGGTGTTACTCACCACACACGCTGCGATGTGAACCCAAGAAAAAGGCTGGATCCATATCCCCAGAGTAAAAGGACCAGGACCATCCCTAGACGCCAGACCAGATCCAACAGGGTCACCCACCTCCTCTTGTGCATAAACGGTATTGCTAGAAGCTGATATACGGTAAGGTGGTAATAACCGCTTCTGAGTTAAAGTACCTTTGTCAAAGTTTAAGTACTTTGTAACTGTTTAATAAGAATAAGTGCCCTTTAGAGGGTCACCCACCCCACCTCTTCCTGGGCATAGACAGGTATTAAGGAACCAAAAGACTTAAAGGTAACTTTAAAGAAGACTTGCTAAAAGCTGATATACAAAATTAAGAGAATTACCCAAATAAGCTAACCCTCAAAAGCCAGAGACTGTAAGTTGATGCGGGCTTACCCCGATCAAAGAAATAGAGGAGGGATTTGTTATGAACAAAACAGCCTGGCTGGGACACTTGGCTTGGGCTAAGTACTGACATTGAAATGTTAATTAGCTAATTGTTCCTGGGAATCACCTACCTCCCCCACCCTCACTACCATTCTAGGACTGGGATGCAAAATAATCCAGTGGAATCATGGGAGGGGGTTTTGGGGATGAAAAACACCCCTAAATGGAAAAGATGGGCACAGTGGAGGGGGCTGGATGGGTGTGCTGGTTGGGGGAAAGGGAACCCCATCCCTAGTCTGTGTTTGACCTGTCACCATAACCTGCAGAGGACCAGACTGGACTGGGCTGTGGGAAGCAGGAGCAAAGCAGACACACTTCCTGGTGTTACCAGGAGGGAAGGAGAGGGACAGCTGCTGCTGGACTTCGGCAGCAGGCTCTGCACATCCCCTCATTCTTTGGCTACCAGTGTGCCGGGAGGAAAGGAGAAGAGGACGGTCTGCTGGGACTTCAGATATGGACTGCACACCTCTTCATCTCCAGCTACCAGCGTGCCACAGAGACTCCAGGGACAGACTCTGCACGCCTGCTCACCCTTCGGCTACCGGAGAAGCTACAACAGCGGGGGCGAGCTCCTTGTTGAGCCCCCTGCCGAGCTGACTTTTTAATAAAGAGCTGACTATTAATAAAGGCATAGACCCTGTTCATTTCAGGGAATGCTTCTTGTCATCCTGAAAAGGTATCTGTTAGCACCAGTAAAAACTTATACCCCCCCCTTTTCTTGGCAATTCCATGAAATTGATATGCCATTGTTGCCCAGGTCCATGGTCCTTCCCAGTCTGGCCAAGTTCTGGTTTGGGAATATTCTTGGGGTTGGTCTGGAGGCAAAGGTCACATTGTCAAGTCACTTGGGTGATAGTGACTCATAAATTTCTAGCAATGATCCTTTCATTTAGATATTTATGTAGGGCATCAATTCCCCAATGTGTTTTCTGGTGTTCCTCCCTTATTAGGGACCATAATAAATAGGAGGGTATAACTAATTTTCCTTCTATGGTGGCCCATCCCTCTTGGTTATAGGCTCCTTTCTGCTCATAGATCAATTTTCTGTCTAATTTGTTGTATTTTGGCTTACCTTTGAGGGAAATTTGCCTGTCTGGAATCAGGACAGCCTCAGTTGTTACCTCATTTTTCACTGCTTCTTTTGCTTCCCTATCCACCAGCTCATTCCCTTCTTCCAATTCTGAGTTTATCTTCTGATGTGCCTTAATGTGCATGATTGCCACCTTCTCTGGCAACTGGACTGCTTCTAGAAGTTGCAGTATTTCTAATGTGTGTTTAATGTTTTTCCCTTGAGAGTTCAGCAGTCCTCTTTCTTTCCAAATGTCTCAGTGAACATGCACTACTCCAAATGCATACTTTGAGTCCGTATATATGTTCATTTCTTTCCCTTTTGCCAATTCCAAGGCCTGAGTTAGAGCAACTATCTCAGCCTTTTGTGCAGAGGTATTTGTTGGCAGGGGTCCAGATTCTGTTACCTCCTTGCAGGTAGTAACTGCGTACCCGGCGTGGCGTTTTCCACTGATGACATAACTGCTTCCATCAGTGAACCAGATTTCTGCATTCTTGAGAGGGGTGTCCTTCAAGTCAGGGCGGCTGGAATAGGTGGCCTCGATAGTCCCCAGGCAGTCATGCTCCACTGGCTCCCCTTGGTTTCCACTGAGGAAGGAGGATGGATTGACAGTGTTAGCCACTACTATCTCTACATCATCTTGCTCCACCATAATAGCTTGGTATCTGTTGTGGTTTGACACGGAAAAGAATTTTCTCAGAAGGAAGCGTGTCAAGCCAGTCAGTGATTTGGGTTAGATATTAGCACTTAGGCTGACCAATTGAAGGCTAGACACGCATCTAAGAACACAGAGGGGTTAAAAGCAAAATTCCCAGGAGAACTTGCTCTTTTTTGTTCCAGTACTCAGAGAGTACAGACTCTCTCCCCCCCCCCTCCCCCCCCCAGGTGGCTGGGTGGGGGAGGAGAAGCCATGCAGCCTGACTGAGGTAAAGCCGAAGGGTGGAGGGACTGGGACCGGGCCAGCTCCCTGCAGATGGAAGAGTAGAAGAAAATCTGAAATGTCTGCGCCCCCCCCCCCCCCCCCCCGCCCCAGAGTCTCTCTGGAGAGAGAAAGAGACAGAGACGGTACACCATGGGGAAGGAGAAGAATGGGGGGGGCGGAAAGTGCCCAGCTGTGGGAGCCGAGTTCCAGGCAGAGAGCCCGGCCAGCCTCCGGGTAATTTAGACTTTTAACCCCTTCTTAGATGATGAAAGCTTTATGACATATTACTCCTCCTCGATTTGAAAGAGAAGAAAAGAGACAGTCTGAGACCTGAGATATTAGAAAGAAAAAATCTAAGTGGGAGGAGATGATGGAGTAGCTTTTGGCTAGACTTTTTCTTGTTAACCATAAACTGAACCAATTCTCTTCTCCAAGAGAGACTGCATTTTAGGGGGATGTTTGGTGAGCCAAAAGACCTGTTTCAGTGACTAGCAACACAGGAGTAGAGTGAATGGAAAAAAGTTAAAGAAGTTTGTGGTGATGCCCTCTGTCTTCAGAAAGAAGATAATCTCTTTTCTTGAGACCCTTGGCCCCAGGGGAGAAACAAAATAGGGGGGACTGTGGTCCCAAAAAAATGAGAAACTGAACTGTTGTTTTTCTTTGGTCCTTGGCAAAACATCCTTGAAAAGAAAACCCTACCCTATGAGCAGTCTGTCCATCCATATATAGTAGTGAGAGCACTGTACATAGAAAGGAGAGTTGTCACCATAGAATTTTTTTTCTTTGGGTGGTGCCATGTGTGACATGGAAACACAAGAAGTAGCAGCTGTGTTTCTTAGAGAGTCTATGGCACAGGAGAGACTCCTCTCTCCCTCGATAGACTGAGTATTGATTATCTGAAGGGTGGGAACCTAAGTGAGAATCCAAGTTGTGTCTCACTGTAGTTTGTTAGAATGTGTGTGTGGGGGGGGGGGGGGAGGAGGAATGTTTTAGAAAGTTTTCATTTTAGTTTTAGTGTATGTTTTTTCTTTCTTTTTCCTTTTATAGTAGTAGTGGTTTAATAAAGTTTCTCCTTTGTTATTAAGCGTAAGCCTACTCTGCTCTGTTCCTGATCGTATCTCACAGCAAATCATTTGAGGAGTTACATTTTCATAAGGCACTAACATTGTACCAGTGTTAAACCATGACAGTATCTCAGGAATCTTTGTGGGGAAAGCCAATGCCCGCCTTTCATCTCTAGCACTGCGGACACCGTGTGAGACACTAGCACAGTAATTTTCTGGCCCAGGGTGAATTTATGTGTGTCATGGTTTGATGCTGGCGCAATGCCAGTGCCCCCATGAAAATGCACCTTCCCCAAATGAGTGCTGTGAGATGCGATCAGGAACAGAGCAGAGCAGGCTCAAGCTTAGAAACAAAGGAAAAAACTTTATTACCCTACAACTACAATAAAAGGAACACACAGAATTCAGGATGAAAACATTCTAAAACATGCCTCCTCCCCCCACCCAATTTCCACCAAAACACAGTGAGATGCAACCCTGGGTTCCTGATCAAGTTACCACCCTTCAAATAATCAATTCTTAGTTCATCAAGGGAGAGACGAGTCTCTCCTGTACCATAGACCCCCAGGAAACACAATTGCAACCTCTTGTGCTTCCATGTCACACATGGCAATTGCCTGGAGAAAATCTGCCAATGTGACACCCTCCTTTCCATGTCACAGTGCTCTCACCACCATGCATGGACTGAAAATACTCATAGGGTTTGTTTTAAGGATGCTTTGCCAAGGACCAGAAGAACAACATTTTCTCATCTTGGGACAACAGTCCCCCCCATTTTCTCCTCCCCTGGGGCTGAAGGTCTCGAGAACAGAGATCTTCTTCCCTGAAGACAGAGGGCACTGACACTGTTGAAGCAGGATGGGAACAGAAGAAACTCCGATTCAGAAGGCTAGATGATGTGAATTCCAACTGATTTATTTCAAATACATCCCTCTTTTATAGAGAGCATCGTGCAGACTAATTTCATTGGTCTTAAAGTAAAAACATATCACCCCATTGGTGTGCAGTGAATGACGCACGGTGGCAGAACATATCTATAAACAATGCGAACAACAAGAGAGATAGAGAATTATTTACATTCCTTTGCAACTCTTTCCCAGGCTCTAGCCTGGCAGAAACTCTCCTTTCTCTCTGACTGCACTGAGAATACCCATAGGGCACCACCACACCCTCCTCAACTTTTCCTCTGTTCACTCCACTCCCATCACTCTCAGTCGCTGAAGCAGGTCACCCCACTTCTGCACTCTCTTGGCCCAAGTCATTGCATTCCCCTAAAAATGCAGTGTCTGTTGCAGAAGAAAATTGGTTCAGTCTATGGCTATACAAGAAAAGTTCAGCCAAGGCCACTCCATCATCTCCTCCCACCTAGGATTCTTTCCCCATCTTCTTCTGACATCTCAGGTCCCAGGCCGTCTCTCTCTCTTTCTCTTTCAGATCAAGGAGTAGTGCTTTGCAAAGCTCTATTTTCCCAGGAAAGGGTTAAAAGTCTTGGGCTCCCAGGATAGCTGAAATCTCACAGAAGGCTGCCGAACTCCGACGGCTGGCCACCTTCCTCCCCCCCACCTCTGTCTTCTCTGCGGCATACTGCCTGCACATGACATCAAATTTCCAGGTGGAACGGGTTCTCTCCTTCTCCCTCTGGGGGCGCTGCCTGGGACATCTGAGTGTTTCTCCACCCTTCTGTCCTGTGGGGGATCCGCCTGGTTCCCTTCCCCTCACCCCCCTCTCTCTCTGGGGCTCTGGCCTACCTCAGGCACAGGCCGCATGGCTTCCCCTTCCCCACGCAGCCTGTGGCTGTGCAGGGGAGGTCTGCACTCTTCGCTGACCAGAACAGAAGAGAGCGTTCCTGTTATGGTTTGACACTGGCAAAATGCCAGTGCCCCCTATGAAAATGCAATTTCTCAACTGAATGCTGTGAAATGCGATCGAGAACAGAGCAAAGCAGGCTCAAGCTTAATAATAAGGAAAAAAAACTTTATTAAACTACTACTACTATGCTACTATAAAAGGAGGGGGGGGGGAAGAAGAAAGAAACACACACGATTTAAAATGAAAACCTTTCAAAGCATTCCTTCTCCCACCACCCAATTCTAACAAACCACAGTGAGACACAATCTGGACCCCAATTAGGTTTCCACCCTCCAGATAATCAACACCCAGTCCATCTGCAGGGAGAGAGGAGTCTCTCTTGTGCCACAGACCCCCCAAGAAACACAGCTGCCACATCCTGTGCTTCCATGTCACCACATGGCACCGCCCGGAGAAAAAAAAGTTTGCCAGTGGTGACCCTCTCCTTTCCATGCACAGTGCTCTCACCACCAATGCATGGATGGACAGACTGCTTTTAGGATTTTTCCTTTCAAGGATGCCCTGCGAAGAGGGAAAAAACAACAGTTCAGTTTTTCATTTTTGGGACCAACAGTCCCCCCCATTTTCCCCTGGGGCCGAGGATCTACGAACATAGATCTTTTTCTCTTCTTCCTCTCTGAAGACAGGGGGCACTACCACAAACCTCCTTAACTTTTCTCTGTTCGCTCTACTTCTGTTTTTTTCCCAGCTGAAGCAGGTCTCATGGGCTCACCAGCATCCTCCTAAAATACAGTCTCTCTTGGAGGAGAAGATCAGTTCAATCTGTGGCTACCAAGAAAAAGTCCAGCTAAACAGCCACTCTATCATCTCCTCCCACCTAGAATTTCTCCTTCCAACATCCCGGGTTTCAGGCTGTCTCTTTTCCTCTCCTTTTCAAACCAAGGAGGAGAAAAATTTCACAAAGCTTTAATTTCTCAGGAAGGGTTAAAAGTCCCAACTCCCAGAGATGGCTTGCTGCCCAGGCTCCAGCTCCCACAGCCCGGCTGGGCACCTTGTGGCCCCCCCGCTCTTCTCCTTCCCCGCGGCGAACTGCTGATAAACCACCGCCGTCTCTTTTCTCTCTTGGGAGAGAGAGAGACTCTGGGGGGAACGGAGACATCTCAGATTTTCTCTACTCTTCTATCTGCAGGGGGCCAACTCGGGTTCCAGTCCTTTCACCCTTGGGCCTACCTCCGAAGGCCACATGGCTTCTCCCCTCCCCCACCCAGCTCGTGGCCAGGCAGGGGAGAGTCCTGCACTGACCGCTGACCGGAACCCAAAGAGAGCGAGTTCTCCTGGGAATTCTGCTTTTAACCCCTCTGTGTTCTCAGAGGCGTGTCTACCTTCAATTGGTCAATGTCCAAATTGACTTCTTCCTTCCAGAAAAAATTCTTTTTCCGTGTCAAACCATGACAGCAGATGCTGGTGCCCCCCCGACTCCTTCGCTGGTGGAGCCTGCGCAGACGGCAATGCAGCCTTTGGTCCATCTCCTGGCACGCCCAGCGCCTCCCGCAGGGGCTCCTACACTGCTGATGGGGCAGGTGCAACTGCTTCCTGGTCCGCCCCTCTGTGCGCCGTGCGGACCAGTTGATTTGATTTCATTTGCGGTGCCAGTGTCAGTCGTCTAACAGCACGTCTTGGGCGGGACACCCATGTTATTCTCCGCCCTCCCCACTGTGGGACTGACTCCCGCGCTGGGGGTGGTGTCTGCCTTCCACGCCCCGCTCACCATTCCAGCGGCAGCAGCAGCCTTGCCTTTCGGTCCTCCCACCATCCCGGAAGTGACAGCGTCCCCGCCGCCGTGGCCGCTGCCACCAGCGCCCAGCCGATCGCCGCCGGGGCCGAGAGAAGCGCCAAGAGTGCCGTCGCTGATCCCAGGACCGGCAGAGGTGCCGCGGCCGCCGCCGCGGGCACCAACACCGAGAGACGCAGCCACGCTGCCCGCGCCGCTGGAGCGGGCAGCGTGCCACGTGGCGCGGGG